CTCCAAACTCATATTTCAGATTCCCTTCTCTAGCCAGTCAGAGCTCATACTTTCTCACACTATTTCTCTCTCTCAGTTCTATTTTGAATCAGGGCTTGTAGAGCTCAGACCAGTGAGCTGGGTCTGTGAGGCGAGGGGCCCCGTGTGCTGCTGGAGCCTCTCTGCCCACCAGTCCAGGGGGTGAAGATGAGGGAGATAGAGAGACTAACAGAGAAGTATGACACCTGCTTACACAGACCTAGTGCTGGGAGAACTACAAAAGGTACCTCCTCTGTTCATTCCTACAACAAACATTGACTGTGTTATTATGTGCAAGAAAGCACTGAAAGGTACTGCGCTGACTCCTCTTCATCCTTCAGGTCTCTCATTAAATGTCACTTTGTACAGGAAGTCTGGATCCAGCCCAACCAGCATAGGCCCTACTGTGCGCTCCCACAATCCCCTTCTTCCCTATCGTTGCATTTGTCACACCACACTACGGTCACTTGTTCTATTTGCTGACTTTCCTAGAAGAGAAAGTAAGTCCTGTGAGGGCAAGGAACGCTTGTTTCCTCACCGAGCCCCCGGTGTCGAGCACAGAGCTTGACCGCAGCCGGTGCCCCGTCAATACGGGGATGATGGGAATGAAAACCCTGCCCTGAGGGCTCCAGTCTAGTTAATGAGGAGACTGGCCGGTGCCTAAGAGGCAACAGGAGTTCAAAGGAGAAAAAAACAACTTCTGGCTTGGTTTCCTGGAGGAAGAATATTTGCGGAGACCTTGAGGAATGCAGACGTGCCGACACGATCTTTTCTGTTGGATTCAGGAGTGGTGTGAACAAGAGGCAGGAAAATCCAGGGCAGGCCCCACAAACTGCTGAGTGTGTCTGAAGCGTGGGCTCACGCAGGGCGGAGCAGACGAGACACCTGTGCCACCTACACCCGTCCTCCACGGGGAGGGGAGCCTGTGTTTTGCAGAACATCAAAAAAAGAAATTCTAGAACTTGACAGCCGTTATAATTCCACTGCAAGAAATCTTTCCTTATGTCAATCTTATATTATTTCTATTTTAATATTAGTCATTTCCTGCTGCTTTGCTCTCAGAGGACTAAGATCCCCTAATCACAATCCTCTGTAAAAGGAGGCTTCGTAGCTTTAAAAATCATTTTGAAGTATCACAAAACAGTAAAACTGGCATATTATCTAGGAAAGGAACTTTCTTCAAGGGCCAACAGTGTATGCCACATGAAACCCTGAGACCAGTGCCCGATCACCTGTGTGGTCTGATGCTACACTGTCACTTTCTTATTGCACCAAATTATTTCTAGTTGTCAGGCTCGGATAATAAATCACATACATTTTAGGATCTAGGTCAGAGATGGTAAGTAAAAAGTAGCTCCACAGTGTTACAGAGGGATAATTAAAGTGAGAGCAAATGTGATTCACGAAAGATTGTTTGAATTATCTCTGCTCAAAACCCTTCAATTAGAGCATATTTGGAATCACTCCCAACAAAGAATAGATAGAAGCCAGAGACAGCAGGAACAAAGAGTCGACCTAGATTCACACACGCGCATGCAGGCGGCTCAGGAGGGGCTCAGGTTATGGGCAAAGCAGTCAGGGCAGCAATCAAGGTGCCGTGAGGCCACCTCAGGAATGGCGAGGGGTTGGTAAGGAGAGTCCCAGCGTAAGAGACCCTCTGATGTCAAAAGGCTTTGAGCCTTAGCTGACATTAGAGGCAAGTGTGAGAGATAGTTAAGGAGTTTTAATCCTATGCACAGTGCCCACTCCGTTTTCCTGTTCTCTTCCTCAGCTCATCACCTGGGAGAAATTCTAATAGGAAGACACCGACAGGCGAAATGTCAACCACAAAGGCCACAGATAGTATTGTTGGTCCCTTGGTGGCCAAAGGAAAAAGGAGCAGTTAGTCCGCTTCTGCTCCCCAAGAGCACCACCTCCTCCCACCCACCCCTATCACCAACCCTGTATTCACCAGCTATTTCCTCCTCAAAAATTATTTTTAACTTTTCATCTTCCTTTCAAGGTCACTCAGGATCCCCCTCAGAAAGGACACGCAGCAACAGCACTAACCCTTAGCTCTGCTGGGCCTGACCCGAGTCTGGAAGCTCCTATGAAAACTCACCAGCTGCCCCTCATGTACCCAGCACCTCTGCCCCAGCCCCAGCCTGGGGGAGCTCTGCTCATCAGGACTCCTCCACTGCTCAGAGGCGTGTACTCAATGACCTCTGGGGGAACCTGCACTTAGTGATGGGAGGGAGGAGGGAGCAGTGACCTGCAGCCCCTTGGGTACCCCAAGCAGTGCTCTGAGGTCAGCATGTAAGTATGGACCCTGCAGAGCTCAGCCATGCCTGCCAACACAAGGGCAGTTTGCAGAGGACCACAGACATAGAAACTTGCATCCATCTCGCCTCCAGAACACTCTCCCCTCCTCTCTAGCTGCCCATTTTTGTGGGAAGACAGACTTTTTGTTGCCGTTTGATGCCTATTCCCACCTGAACTCAACTGGTGCTCTGCAATCCAGAAGAAATGCAGTTGAGGAGGCTGTGTGAGATGCTCTCACCTCCTCATAAACCACAGACACTTTCTCTAGCCTGGTATCATTGATATGAGCTTGGCTTGGGGCACCTGGCCAGGATTCTCCACACCACCTCCCAAAAAAGGTGTCACAGTTTCAGTTCCCAGGAGAACTGCTTACTAGAGGGACAGGGGGAGCAGACGGGAATGCTCAGTTATAGGATTAGGTATACATTTCTTACCTAGAACCTACAGAAATGCTGAATCGAATTCTCCCTAACGCAGAGGCAGCGTCTCCCCAACTCCACAAGGAAAAGAGAATGTGGGGGATGGCTGCTTGACACTTAACCTGCTGGAGGAAGTAAAGCCCTTTCTGCAAGGGTGGGATTCTTTGGGTCTAGGTTTATAGACGTGTCATTCCAGCCTTTAGGAATGTGTCAAGGGATTTTTAAGAAGAGCTGCTGTGAGTGGTAAATGTTCAATAAAAAATGTTTTCCCATCAAGACAATGCTGCCCATGGAAGTACATGTTCTAAATAGAACCTGCTATACAAAATTCAGTATTTCAAAATAAATAAAAGATACTCTCTTTTCAAAATATTCAACTATAGGTTTTCAATTAAACATCCAAATTCTTTAGCACATTTAAAATAAGGTTTTACTGTCTAAGTTTTTGATTTACCAGGTATTTTCAGAAACTTGCCTGTTGAATACACATTGAAGTTCACTTAGAGGGCAAACTATGACCCTTGGCTCCCCTATAAGCCTCCTTTAGGCTCCACTCTGACAGGCAACTATGGCATTAGGGTGAAAATCAAAACATGCAAGAGAAAGCACTTTGAAAATTACAAAGCACTAGCTACGTGCTAGATGTTATAAATATTAAATATCAAGTCTTGAGTATGCTGCCTAGGATTTGCTTCAAAATAATGGGGAGAGAGGGAAAGGAGAATAAACGAAGCAAGACTCATCTTAAGTAGGTAATTGTTGAAACTAGATGATGCATATACAGCGGTTCATTATATCATTCTCTCTCCTTTCGTATATGTTTGAAATTCCTTATAATAAAAAGTTTAAAACCGTAAAGCTAGGTAGAGCTTTGGAAATTTGAACTATAACCTCTCTTCATTTTGTAGATGAGAAAAACCAGTCCAGAGAGGTTAAATGACCTTCTTGAAGGCACACAGCTAACTGCAGAGCCAGGAGCCAAAATTCTGAACTCCCAGCTCTGGGCACCTTCTACAGCCCCACACCAGGGACCTCAGGCAGGCGTGGACTTCTCTGGCCACTCTCCCCAGTATTCCCCAGGTACTTCAAGCTCCCAGGTGTGTCTGGAAGCATGCTCCAGAGAGGGAGAGTGCTGGCCAGACCTGGAGCAAGAACCAGCAGAGCTGGGGCCAGAGCCAGAGGGCCCTGGGCACTTTCCAAAATGAGCAGAGGCCAGGGGAGGGGGGAGGTTCTCGCCTGGCCTGCTGGGTCACTGACACCTGCAGCCAGAGTGCCCAGAGAACCTGAGCTTGGCCTGCCGGACATGCTCATTCCGCTCCCCTCCCCCACCCAACCTTTCCCACCCACCTCCGGCCACGGAATCCAGGACTCTGGGCGAGGTCTCCGGCTTTCCAGGGCCCCCCGAGAAGTGGACTGGAGGCGAATTTTACCCACCCCGGGACGCGGAGGGTGACGGGGGGATTCTAGAGGGTGGAACTACGGAGTTTGGCGAGGCCCTCTCTGGCAAGTAAGATCTGCATCTGGGAGAGGAGATAGAGGCAGGGGTGGGGGAAAGGAGTCGCTGCAGAGCCCCCTAAGGCAGGCAGGAAACAAAATGAGAAGTCTGAAGTCCCCTGGCCTTCCGGAGGGAAACTTCTGTGTGCCAGAGTCCTTCTGACTTTGACGGCTGGAAACTGGGGAGTTGCCATGGGTGCCAGGTGCCTGGAAAGCGGGGAGACCTCGAGCTGTTAAGAGCCCCAAACCCAAGCAGACGGCTTGGGACGGGAAAGGAGAACGACCCCAAGCCTGGGGGGATTGTGATGCTCTAAGTCCCTGTCACATTTGTCTGGGTTTGGGGACCTGACTGCACCCACTCCCCCAGCCCCCCCGGGCCCAGCCCACCCATCTGGAATCCCCGGAGTGCCCCCCTTTTCTCCCCACTCTGGTCACTGAGGAGCCTGCCCGTCTGGGGATCCCTCAGAATCTCACCTCTTCTGCACCGGCCTCCCCATGTCCTCCCTCCACTCGCCTGCTTGTGCAGATCTCCCTTAGGTCCTTTCGAGGGGCAACTCGCCCCAGGTGTCTCCTTTCCCTCTACAGTAAAGGGTAACGGCACCAGGTGTCCTCTGTCCCCTCAACCCTGAACTGACACTGCCCCCCAGGAGACTGAGCTCTGCAGATCCAAAGCCATGGATCCGTTAGCCTGCGTAGTCTCGGCTCTCGGCTGGGCGCTCGCCCCGCGCCCCGGGGCCCCGGCCCCCGCCCCAGGCCCGGAAGGCTCACCATCGCGACCGCTCTGCTCGCCCGCTCGCCTCCCCGCTGCCCACCCCAACTGCTCCAGATAGGCCGCCTCCGCTGTTGTGACACGCTGGGCGGGAGGGGGCCGGGGACAGACATGCCAGGCCAGCAGCTGCCTTGCAGCATCACAGTGCCCGCGGAGGGGAGGGACCCGGCGGGTCACAATCGCTCCTCCCCGCCCGCCGGCGGCTCAGCTCTCCGCACCTTGGGCGCCTCGCGGTGGGAATTGCTCGGCGGACTCCTCGCCTCCACCGGGAGGCAGTCCTATCACCAGAGCGCGCCCCTGCCCCCGGGAGATGGGCCATTATCATTCCAGCTGCTTAGGAAAGAAATGTAATCACGTTGTTAGGCAAGACGTTCGCTGCTCCCCAAACTTTCATTCTCTTCCTGCTCCCAAACACTAGCTGAGCCAGGAAGGCCTGGCCCGGGCGGGCGGGAAAGGCACCTGCTGGGTTTAGTCGACCGCGGTCACCCTCCACCCGGGAGAGCGCAGGGGCGGTGCCGGCTCGCGGCGGGAGGAACCGGCTCCAGGCTCAGCTCGAGAGCCACTTGCCCAGCCTCTGCTCTGGGGCCTGTCTCTGCCTCCTTCAAGGCCTACCCGGTCACCGCGAGTTAAAGGAGGCAACGCTCATAAAGCTCCTGGGACACAGCAGGGGCTCTATGTCAGCTGTTCGCGTTTCCACTACTATGTGGGTGTCCACCACCGTCCACCATTATTTTCCAATCTCTTTCCTGATCCACTTATCATTACATTACCCCTTGTCCTACTTTTAAGCCCAGAATGTACAGAATGATCTCAGAGTTCTGGCTGCCTCCTTGACACAAATGATGCCGAAGGGCAAGGGATTCCCTTACTCTCCCTCTAGTCTGAGAGGGGGAGGGGAGCTGGGTCTGGCCTGGGTAAGAGCTCCTCTCTTCACACTTGCAATTTTGGCCACTTTATTAAACTTTTCTCCACTTCCCTGTCCCCTCCGCCCAGCTCCGTGGTGGGTTGGATGATTATGGTCTTTTGGTCTCACTGTAAAATTCCACACCAGGGCCAACCCACAACAGGTAACCCAGCTTCTGTCTTCTCGCCCACTCTCCTCAGGTCCCTGACCACGGACCACCAAGTCACTCCAGACAAATTCCTGGCTTTTCTGCCAGACGCTACTGCATAGAGCTGCCTTGACCAGACATGGTGACGCTCCAAGTCTCCAAGCCACAGACACAGACTCACCTTCTCTCCCACTCCTAAGAGGTGCCTATCTCTGGCCAGTGGAGAATGAGAACACTTCTTTTCTTTATTTATGTAGCAATTTGTTCTGCTAACCACCCCTTTGTATATTTTTTTATTTATACTATGAGTTTCCAGAGGACAGGGCACATGTCTTAATCATCTTTGCATCTAAGAGAGTACCAAACATAATGCTTTACCCACTGATACATACAGTACTTCATAAATTATGAGTTGAATTCTTGTCTATCTTATAATGTAAGATCCTGAAAATTGAGAATCATGATTAAGCTAACTGCCAAGCAAATGGTACATGCTCAATAAGGGATAATGACTATTATTAACTGTATATTTATCTCTCTTCCAAACTCCTGTAGCACATTCTATTACTTCTTCCATTACATTTATCACTTTCTACTTTGGATTCTAGATATGCGGGAGTGTCCAAGTGTTCCTCCAAAATTGGAACACCTTGAAGGCAGGGGTTGTGTTACTCATCTTAGTGCCCTCCCCATCAAAAGTACCTAGTTGAGTGCATCAAAGTTACTCAGTAAACATTGCTGAATAAACTGATTTTTCGAGTTCTCTTTGTGAACCAGCAAATACCTTATGAACACGTTCTTAATGTCTTGGGATAAAAATGATAAGGACAATGCTAGTGATTATGATTGTATTCAATTGCCTATCATTATGGTGATGCCCTTTGAACCTCATCATCTTTCTGTATATGGTGTTTAGGGCTGGAGGGAGCCATGACTACACCATAAATGCGGGATATAGCATCTTTTGGTTCCAGGGAGATAAGAAGAAGGATAGCTGTTATGGACTGAATTGTGTCCCCCCAAGTTCATATGTTGAAGCTTTAACCCTCAGTGTGACTGTAGTTGGAGACAGAGTCTTTAGAAGGTAATTAAGGTTAAATGAGGTCATAAGAGTGGGGCCCTGATCCAATAGGACTGGTGTCCTTATAAGAGATACCAGGAGTGCACGTGCACAGAGGAAGGCCATGTGAGAACACAGAGAGAGGGTGGTTGTCTACAAGCCACAAAGAGAGGCCTCAGCAGAGACTGACCCTGCTGGACCTTAATCTTGCACTTCCAGCCTCCAGAACTGTAAGAAAATTAATTTCTGTGGGTTAAGCCACCCACTGTGTGGTATTTTGTTATGGCAGCTGGAGCAGACTAAGACAGGAGCCTTAGAGTTTGGAATAAAAAAAGGTTTACTTCTTTTTGGTTTTTAAGCCCTCTGTCTTACAATTATTTGACTTGTGGCAACCCAGATCTCATTGATACTTCTCCCATTCCACCTCCATCCTATGCCTTTCTCCCTGAGTAGAAGTTTGGAAAGAAGGAAGGACATGTTTTTTTAGTCCTGTGATGGTTAATTTTATGTGTCAACTTTAAAGATCTGTTAATTTCCAGGCACCCACACAGCTGGGGTGAGCCTGTGAATTCCAAAGAGCAAACATTTGGTCAAACATTATTCTGGATGTGTCTGTGAGGGTATTTCTGAATGAGATTAACATTTAAATCACAGACTTGAGTAAGGCAGATTGCCCTCCGTAATGTGGGTGGGCCTTGTCCAATCAGTTGAAGACTCGAATAGAACAAAAATGCTGAGTAAGAGGGAATGGCTGCCTGCCTGACTGCTTGAGCTGGGACATCAGTCTTCTCCCGCCCTCAGACTGGAATTTATACCCTCAGCTCTCCTGGGTCTCCAGCTTGCTGACTGCAAATCTTGGGACTTCTCAGCCTCCTTAATCACGTGAGCCAATTGCTTCTCTCTCCCTCTCTCTAGACATAGATAGACATAGACATAGACATAGACATATACACATATACATATACATATAGAATAGGATATATCTCCTATTGGTTCTGTTTCTCTGGAGAACCCTGACAAATACAATCCCCTTTTTGCAGGTGGTAAAACTGAAGTCAAATCTGGGCTATTTATGAGAAAGCAATCGCATACAATGTGATTTAGGCCTTGTAAAGAAATAACTCCACCTCCACTACATTCCAGGTACTATGTGTGAACATATTTCTTCTTGCATGAGTTTTTGTGCTGTGGGGTCACATTCTCAAATACAGTATACTGATAGCCTAAAAAGTTGAGCCACACCCCTTTGCATAGGGGGTAATGTAATTTCTATCAATCACCCAGGAGAAGAGTTAGTCTTCATGATATTTATATACCTATTATTTATACACTATCCTGACACTGAGCACTTTCTATGTGCTAAACACTGTGTTAAGGGCTTACCTCTTTTACTCCTCACAACAAACCTGTGAAATTAAAATTTCTATTATCCCCATTTTACAGATGAAGAATTTTGAGATTTAGAAATGTTAACTCTTATTCCTGATCACACAACCGGTAAGAGATGGAGCTGGGGTTTGCACTCAGGGAGTCTGACGCCAGAGGCTGAGCTCAGATGTTTAATCATCACCTGTAAACTGGAACTGGAAGGACAAACCTGAGATACGGAGGGCTTGTCTTCGTTCTCTTATCTTAGACTTCAAGAGTCCACATTCCTAGGGTGGTGCTCTAGTGGGTGGGTATTAAAGACAGAGTTTACCAGGTGGGGGGAAACTGGGAGCCCAGTGGAAGAGACACAAGAAAGATCTGTTAATTTCCAGGCACCTACACTGCTGGGGTGAGCCTGGAATTCCAAAGAGCAAACTATATTTTATAATCAGATTATCTGAATGTAGGTTGTCAGTGCAAATGATCCATAACCAATCTATAAATCAAAATTGGGGTGAGTTTACCATGAGCCAGATCTGAGGACCATATAGCCCAGGAGAGTCCTTTCACAAAGGAAGGGAGCACTCCAAAGAAGTGGGGTGTACAGAGTGGTTATATACCGTCAAAAAGCATGTATCACATATGATTGGAATGTCCCTTTTACAATAATCACGAGATTGCTGTGCTGGCATTTCCTCGAATACAGCAGGTCAGCAATCAATCCCTAGCCTAGGGAAAGATGCTTGTCCTTAAGGAAATGCCAATGTGGGGAAATTTGCATCCTTATCTTTTTTTTTTTTTTTAAAGATTTTATTTATTTATTTTTCCCCCCCAAAGCCCCAGTAGATAGTTGTATGTCATAGCTGCACATCCTTCCAGTTGCTGTATGTGGGACGCGGCCCCAGCATAGCCGGAGAAGCGGTGCGCGCCCGGGATCCGAACCCGGGCCGCCAGCAGCGGAGCGCACGCACTTAACCGCTAAGCCACGGGGCCGGCCCTACATCCTTATCTTTAAGGGCATTGTTCGTGTCTTTGTGACACAGTAAATACTTAAAGCAGATATACAATGCATGCTCAATGGTCATGTCAGGCCCTTTTGGAAAAACAAGTTCAGGCCGAATTAGTTTTATACCAAATGGCTTCCTCATATATTCCGATATATCCTATTGCTTGTCATTTATTTATCAAGGTACTTGCCGTATTTATTTAACTTTGGTTACCCCTAGCCCTAAGTACACTCACATTTAAATATTAATATGCCAAGCTTGTTTCTCATATGCTGCAGGGCACTAAGAGAAAGGGAGGGTAGGCATTTTTTGCCACAGTAATCACAGATAAAGTGAGGGCTGCATGGTTGCAGCAGCCATAATCATCAAGAGACCACCAGAGAAAAGGTGAATCTCGGGACAAATTTGGAGCCACACAATCCAGCTGGCCCTTCTCCCAGGCCAGTCTCCTTCCAAAACCAACCTTGGAGAGTCTGGGTTGTTTTGTCTTCAGTTGGGGCAGGCAATATTTTCCTACTGGCCGTGATTCTTCCCTCCACTCCTCCCAATGGGTTGATGTCAGAAATGGCACATTTCAGAGCATTGTCTCTATAGCTTCACCTTTGATGCTTGTTAAACTCACCTCCCCTGGGAGGGGGCAACCCTTTAGGC